CCCGCATTCCTTTTCTGTCTCTAGACAAGTACTCATGAATATTCTAGCCATCTCGTGGTGATTTCAAAATGACAGCATTACTGTCCAGTGCTTTATTTTAAAGTCCACATATGCGAGTATCATTTTGCTTCCGTATGCTCTGTTGTTTTTCGCTACTCGCTCACTGAAGTTCGTCTATTTCCGCTTATCACCGCGCATAACTGCATGTAACATTTTGCAGCTAATATCGCTCCAATGCGAGATAACTCATTTTTTAGCTGTCATCATAACCAGTCCATTTGACACTATGCAGTTATACTTTCATCTTGAAAAAGTGATAATTATTCTGATGCGGAGGCTTCCACTCCAACCGAAATGCAGCGTACCTCCACTTTGAAGGAACACATCGGAAGAAGCAATGTCACAGGGATCTCATTGTCTTTGTTCACAATGCAATCACTGAGGCGCACTAAAACCCTTCCAGATGGGATTTGGTAGGAACAGTGTATCATGGTTTTTGAGGTGTTTAAGATTTACCTCTCCTACCGCTCGTATGGCACCCTGTTATAATCGAATACACATTCACAAAAAATGCTACGCCTCCCAACGCCTTAAGGGATAACACAGGTACTGTTATACAAAATTCGACCCTATTTCGCCATAGAGTTTGCGGCGAAAATGAGGAGGCTCTTAACATACAAACTATGCTCCTTGCCTTCCAATCCCCAAACATGACATGGTACAAAGCATGGACGATTAAAATGAGGCTTCTGTCATTGATTTACTAGAGTCGACGAGTTGGAGGACTAAAGTTCTTATAGATTGGAGTTAGGAAAACTGACGTCTTACCTCATTTTGATGGGTAGAAACATGCGAATGTTTAAGGACATCAAGAAAGTAGTAATCTTTAACCCAATAGAGGTTGAGGTGACAAAAATTTGTGTGAATGTGGTCTCCCTAGTTTTCACGTATAAAAATAACATTTGCCTATATTGTCACAAAATTAAGCAGTTTCAACATTCCTAATAACACAATTGCCACCAGTGTCACGCATATGCGACGTCCCAATGTGCCTACTTGAGGTAAACCAAAGTGCAAGACAAACAGATTGCTCGAATCCAAAACAGAAAAACGCACAAAAACTGGGTGTTAAAAATTACAACACAAGGTAAGCAAAATAAAAATATGGAACTTTTTAAACTTTCGACTCATTTTGTTGGTTTTAAACCGGCGCTAATCAGATAGTCTTATATGATGACCGTTCGAATTCAAATACAGCCAACAGAGAACAAAGAATCGCAAATGTCTCGAAATATTTTCATCTTGTTATAGTAGTAATCAATGCAGCATAATTTTTCAGCTCAGATCAAATAGTGTTGAAAACTGCACTTTCATACAACACCCTGATTTGCTCAGCAGTAATTGATATTTCAATACCATAGTCATCTCCGTAACCCTTCTACAATTCTTCTACTTGGGCGCCATGGAGAAATGTCTGCGTCACTTATTAAACTTGCCTTGACGCTTTCAATCCCTATATGGCGTCTGAAACATTAACTTAAGCGCAAGTTCATTTGAAGGATAAGGTTTTATTTGGATCAAATCCTGTCCGGACATGCAAACTTGTGAAATAAATGGTAAATTCTCCTTCATTGAAGAAGTTTACAAATGCCTGAGCTTGACCGCTTCTAGTGTGTTGTATTGAAACAATTTTTCTCTGTTCAATTTCAGTGGAAACACTTCCCCAATGGCTGATTGTGCACTTCTCTCCTCCGCTTACATGACATCATCTATCTTCTCTTTCCTTTTTTCTGTAGTTGGTCTGAATTCATCCTCATATAAGTAATTTGAAAGGCAAATCAGATGCTCGGAGACATCACCGAACTCCAAACTACTTGATCCCATTATCTTACTACAGACTGCTTACTTGTCAACTAAGAGCACCTGTCCAATAAATAGCAGCCGTATATTATTATGATCTATCTAAATACGCCCCAATAAGCACCGGAATTTAAATGCAGCCCAGAGCTTTGTTTTAGACCAATAGATCTTCAGCAACAGGCGCTCGTAAGTGTACGCTGTGTACTAACGAGGAATAGGTAGTAAGTGCACTCACCAATTTTAATTGCAGTTGGTTTATTTTGGGCAACTTATTTGCGTTAATCAAATGAAGGAACAAGCGTGTTCCTCACTAGATTTTACCTAATAAGTGCACCAGCGAAGCATTAATGAGTGAAACCAAATTCGTCAAGCTGTCCAAAGGACTAAACTTCATTCATATTGACGTGAACGTATGCATTGGTTGAATGAAAAAAGTACAGAATATTAAATTTAAAAACACGCTCAAAGTACGCATTTAAAGGCACAACTGACAAGCTCTCCTGGGCAGAGATTGTCCACTACAAACACACGCAATTTCTAAAATTTGTCTTAAAAAGTAAAGTCTAAATAACTACACATC